CTCACTTCACGGTGTGACATAGACGAGATGTTTGTGACACCTTTCCTTATTTAAATACGTCGTCTATTATCTAATCTGATCTAATTCCTAAATAAAATAATAGATCGTAAAACTCGTGACTGCAGCAAAAGTACCACATAACTATAAGTATATAAAAAAAAAAAAGGTGAAATGTTTATTCTGCCCAATTTTAGCACAGCAGCACATCCTCCAGCCTCCTCAGCCTCTCCATTCTCCTCCTAATACTATTAATACTTTGCAGCTGATGTCATCAACATTCCCTGAGGATGTTATGCTAACTGTAGGAACTGCTCTGTCTAAATTTCCTCAAGTTACCCTTTAATTTGAGTTTTACCATGATAACTGCTGAACATTCCGCCATAGAGATGCATAGAAATACAGTGCTCCCCCAGCATGATGTTGCTGCTAAAACACGAGGCTTTCGTGCAGGCCAACATCCATAAAATCATTGTTTGAGGGTTTTTTTTAACATTAATTTTGTGGTGGGAATCTGCCAACTAACTGTCACCACGGAGATGTTATTGCTCTGCCTGGAATGTCCTAACCACCTAGTGCCTCTGCTCAATTTCATTTCTCTCCAGCGACTAGGTCAGGAATCAGAACACACTAGACCAGTGGTGTCAAACTCATTTTGGTCTGGGGGCCATATTCAACCTACTTTGATCCCAAGAAAACTGCCATCAGAAAACTCATGGCATATATACCCCAAAAATAGCAATATGTTCAAATATTTGTGCAGAGAAATGCAAATCTATTACAGAAATCTTTTTTAATTAATGAACTCTTTCTTTTACAAAATGTAATATTATAACAAATGAAAACTTTAAGAAAAATGCAATTTTAACACAATGTTTTAACATTAACTTGTATGCAAATAGGAATAAGTCCATTTTTCTTGGAAAATCCTGCACTCGGCGTCCACTTTTCTCATTTTTGACATTTTGCTGATGAGGGTGTCACAGTCAACAGTCAGTACGATCGTCCTTTAAGAGCGTTTAGAAAGAGGCAAGTCTTCATTTGTGCTGCTCTGGATGGAGGCGTCCACGCATAGAGGCGCTGGAGACGCTGCTATGCTAAACACTGCAGGAAATTAGCAATATTTTAATAGAAAATCTAGTTAAAATATTTTAGGAGAAAATCAGCCTTGTAGACCGTGCACCGGCCAATCAGGGAAGAGCTATGAAGCCATGACGTCAAACTCAAGCGCCTGTCTGGGTCCCTTTTGTGGTACAGCACAAAAGTAAACAAAGCCTTCGAGATGGATGTAGATGAAGCCATACATTCTGTGCTGGCAACAGTTCCCGAGATCAAGGATTTATAGTTTGGTGTTTGATGACTTTTATTTTATTTTTTTATATTATTACCTTTGCTCCCTACAAGATTTGGCGTGCTACATACGTCACGACGAAATAGCAGCGATTGGTTAAATTTTTAAAAAGTACCTTCCTACCGTCGAGCGAACAAATCCTAATGCGAGGTCAGATGGTTTCCATGAAGTGAAACCAGCTGATGAATCAGGCTACAACATTCCACCATAGAGATACACAGAAATACAATACACCCCCAGCATGATGTTGCCGCAAAAACACTAAGCTTTTGTTCAGGCCAATGTTTCCTTCAACATCCATAAAATCATTGTTTGAAATTTTGTGGTGGGGATCTGCCAACTAATTGCCGCCATGACGATGTTATTGCGCTAAAAAACTGCAGCAGTAAAATTAAGGTGAAATCAGGGCTAAACCATGTCTAAACCAGATCTAAATCGGGGACAAAATCAGAACTAGACTCAGACTGGGGCTAAAGCAGGTCAAAAGTATATCAGGGTTTTATCAGGGAATAAACATGGACTGAAACAAAACTGAACCAGGGGCTAAACCAGGACTAAATAAGGTCTAAGCCGGTCTAAAACAGGGACTAAAACAACAGTATTGCATTAATAAATATATCTATCTTGCTTATGAATACCTTAAAAACATGCATTCTTACCGTGGGTTGGCTCGTATCTCCATAGATCTCACCTCTAACTTGGCCTGGTCACGTCATCATCTTAATTGCCTCCTTGGATATAGATTCACTTAATGCCATATTGTAGAACATTCCAGTCAAAACAACATCTGGGGTTACAGTCGCGCTCATTTTTTAAATTAAAATTTCCAGTCTCAATTATTAATGGATTGCTTTTTTGTCACTCTAACCATCTGCAGTACTTTCTCCCAACTGCTGAAACACCCCCAACAAAACATTAAAAGTATTTAGTTTCTCTCTATAGTAAAGGAAAATGGACTCTTGTGAGCTTTAAGCCATGTTACTCCTTCAAAAACTTACCTGGAGTTGTGTTTTGTAATTCTGGTTTATTAGTCTGTTTACATCTCCAAAGCTCAAAATGTTCTGTTCCACCTTGTGATGTCATGAAGTAGTAGTTTTTAAGCGTATGGAGTTCAAAATCAAGAAGTGCAGTGCGTTCTGTGTTACTACATGACAACACAAGGTGGAACTGTGTGTTTTCTCTTTTATATATGCAGGATTTGTGTGTTAAACTTGTGCGAATGAAACAAAACACAACTCCAGCTACGTTTGTGATGTAGAAACAACATTATAGAACTCCGCCTAAATGACACAGATCAGAAAATAGCGTAATATGGGCCATTTAACTCAAAATATTCCACTCTTTTCCAGGTGAGTACGTCCCAAACCTTCCTTCACTCTGACAGATTCCTGCAGACTTCGGGGAGCCTGTTTGCGAGTGGCTCTTCTCAGTCGCGGTTGGATTGTCCGAGCGCTCTTCGGTATACGGCTAACACTCAAGTACATAACCCCCTACACAGTGTCTGAACTGGAGCGTGGTGGACAGGGGAGGGGTGACGAGAGGAAGCCCACCCAAAACTCACTGGAGCCTGGACTGAAGCTGTGCCGAGGTCGGTCTGATCACTGGGGAGCAAATGGAGTGGGAGGAGATTTGTACATAGTGAAGTTGGTGAGTAAAAGTTCTAGATTTCTTACTTAAAAGTCCTATATTAAACAAAATTGACTCTTCTGAACACAACTCCAGGTATGTTTGTGGTAAGGAAACTTATAAACACACAACAATAATCAGGTCTAAGTACTGGGATATGAAGTAATTTTTCAGCAAGAGTGGAAAGAAGTAGTAGAAATAGTCGTTGTAGTAGTGTACCAATCCACATTTAGAGAGACCTTTCGACCTCCGCAGTTTTGTCATGGGACGCAGCGAGCCAAGGCAATATGCTGACATTCTCCTGACATTCTTGGCAATTGTCTGGTGTAAGAGCTGACTTCAGGCTCCGTTCAGGCCATTTCTGTGTGAAAACTGTGGGAACGCCGAGACTTTTCCTGCTTCCCCGCCCAATATCTAATCCTGTTCACTGCGAACCCGATCAATAAGGCCTGAAATCCACACAGTAGAGGCGTGGTTTCTGCTTAGGCTTATGTCTCGTAACTTGCAATTATTTGAAGGTCATTTGGTGAGGGGAAGTTTGCACATCTTTGGGAGTAAAATTTCGAAAATGTTTAGTCATACCCAGATTTAGAGCTTGTAGCGTCATAAATACATACTGTATGTCAGTGTTTCCCAAACTTTTTTTTATTGGGGACCCACATTTTAAAAGTCACAAACCTTTGCAGCCCAAGTCAATAGACATTATTCGTAAATCACAAAATAAATATTTGGATTTGACCTTTATTGATCATTAATGAGGATATTTTATTGTTGACTGAGTGATCGTGTCTCTCTGAACAATTAGTATTACTCAAGTTTTAAACAATGAAAAACAGTAATTGAACCAGCAATAAAAGGATCCATAAGTCGCCTATTTGGACTAAATGGATTAAATGTAGCCCATTTCTTTTTCTTTTCAACAGTCAATTGAACCAGCAATATTGGAACAAAATAGTCATTAAATTATTACAATAAGATTAGAAATTATACAAAACATGTCTTAACATTTAAACATTTCTCATGAGATAGATGGGCCTGTCTGTGTTTTTGCAGAGCGTTGCAGGAGGAGAACACAACATGCATATCAGGCACTGCATTCAGTCTGTTTCTTAGCTTTGTCTTCATTTTTTGTGAGCACAGAAAATCCAAATTCACACATATGTGTAGTAGTGAAAGGAATAAGCATACAAACACTGGCCCTACTGAGGACAGGATTTTCACTTGCTCTCTCATGTGTCAGAACTGTATATTGCAGACCTATATGCAGATCGTACCAAGGCAAAGCTGTATGTATCTATATAGGTGCTGCAGATTGAAAGTCTGTCCTTTTATGACAAATCTTTAAAGGCCCTGTGCCCCAGTACAGATATTTGTATATGCAACTCTTGAGGTCAAAATAAGTCTGTATCTAATTGCATTTTGTTGACAAACAATCAGGAAGTGTACTTTAGCATACTGAATGTTGTTAGTGTTGTGATGGCAAAACTCATCATTATAATGTTCAGAATGCATGAAGAACAACTTTGGACCACTGCAAACCATTTAAAATCAACTAGTCCTGATTTTTACATTTTTAAGATAGAAAAATAACAGCTAAAGCACCTTTAACCACACATGAAATGTATTTTAAATGTTTTTTTTTTTTTTTTGCTTTTATATTATTTTATTTTATTTTTTGTACATTGTCCCTTGTTATTTGATCAGTAATACAGCTTTCACTGTCTTTACCTATCATACCTATCATTAACATTCATTTTTGCCATTTTTTACTGCTGCCTCTACAAAATATATTGTATTCTTAGTACAATCACTGCAGTGACTTGTTTCTAGTATCAAAAATGTACATAAACAACTAAATATGAGTGAGTTGTGTTGTGAAAATGGGTCACCTCTGTCGTGATGGGTGCAGTTCTCAGTCTGGTCAGCAGAGGGGGCTGAAGATACTGGGATGGACCTGCTCCAGACTGCAGCATTATGGGAAATCTTCAGAGCAGCTTAAGTTTTGTGAGTGTGACTGAGTGTGTGTATGTGTACGTACGTGCATGTGTGTGTGCGTGTATATTCTATAGCACACCACAGGGCTGGGACAATCTCAGTCTCTACAATGCACGGCCAAGACAATGCAAAACAAGCAGCTTGGGAGCACTTCCCAGGTCCCACTGAGCTACACGCGCTCACGTCTCCTCCACCCACTGTCTGCTCTGTTCAACACCACATTGCCCAAGGTGGAGATTTCTGTAAGTATGTGTATATCCTTCACTGTGAAAACTACTCAGTCTGTGTGCAAAGACTGTTCAATGCATTGCTCAGGTCATTTTTATAAAACTGGTGACAAACTAAAGTAATGCAATATGTGTTTGTGCCATCATAAAAAGCAATAAGGACATTTTATTTATGTATCTTTATGTAAGATTTAGATTTTAAAGTTCTTAAACATTTACCTGACCAGTTAGAAATACATGCTTTGAAAAAACTTCACAAAGATGAGTAAATCTGGAGCTGTGTTCTGTCTCCCAGTTTCAGATTGTGTGATTGACAGATGAATTACTGGTAGATAAAGACCTGCACATGCAAGAAAAGTTGTGACTGCCAAAGACAAAAATTGTGCAAAAGAAGAAACAGATCCACAGTGCAGTTCTTTGGAGATCTCAATTTTAGTTTTTTTTTTTTTTTTTCTAGTTACGCAGCCCTGGGCATTGAAATAAAAAAATGGGAGCTCCAAAGAACTGACAGGCGGATTAACCAATTAGAGGACTGAGAAACAGTGCAGATTTTGGCTGAATCAACTGTGTCTCATAATCAAGTAAATCCTTTGCTGATAAGAACATAATATGTAAAACTAATTGATTGTTCGTTACAAAAACATTGGATCTGATGGCCAAGCTGTTTATGTTATAACTTGGTGTTCTGGTTCTCAACAGGATTATCCAACCACAAAGCAGTCTCTCATTTAGGTTGCCAGGTTCAGTGCAGAAATCCAGTTGATTTAAACCTAAAATGCCTCTCTCTGATGTGAATCCTCACCACCTAAACCCCGGCACCTGCAGAAAATCATTATTCAGCGCCTCTATTGCTGCAGTATACTCTGTCCATATAACGCCTACTGAGAATGAGAAAAATATGATGAAAATGTGTCCTCTATCTGCATCGCAACTTTTCTGAGCGGTCGAGATGTTATTGCTTTGCCTGGAATGTTCCATGTCATGACATTAAACATATCCATCCATTACAGAAATTCCTATTGCTCAAAAATACAATAATTCCTTTCCACAGATCTGAATTGTAATGCAGTGCAGTGCTCTTACCTGCTTTACGTCCTTGTGATAAATTGGTTTAATCTCTCCTGTGGAACATTCTACAAAGCAACAGTATTTCCATAGAGACAAGCAGGTGGCGGACTATGGAGTAAGAAAGCTTTCAGAAATATTCGTGTGCATAGGATAGAAATCTGTGCATATTTGGCTGTAGTTGAGCATAAAATAAATATTCATAAACTCTGGAATGAGTTCAGTTATACGTAAAATGTATTGTATTTTATCCATCAGAATCCAAATTGAAAAGTTACAACGTCAACAATTACAATCACGAAATGAAAATTTATGATTACACTGTCTTCAGTACGAATACACAGACGCAACTTTACTGTCAAAAATACGTCATCACTTTACAGGCATTATTTACTGAGCAGAAGAAACATCAATGGAGATGCTGGACTTTTGCCCCACATACAGACTGAACCAGGACTGAACCAGGTCTGAACCAGGACTAAACCAGGACTAAACCAGGACTAAACCAGGACTGAACCAGGACTGAACCAGGACTGAAACCAGGACTGAACCAGCAGGACTGAACCAGGACTGAACCAGGACTGAACCAGGACTGAACCAGGACTGAACCAGGACTGAACCAGGACTGAACCAGGTCTGTCAATTTGTATTCATATTGAAGAAAGTGTAATCATACATTTTCTTTCCATAATTGTAATTCTTGATGTCGTAACTTCAATTCGTATTGTGATAAAATACACACAATACATTTTATATACAACTGGACTCATTCCAGAGTTACGAATATTTGTTTCACGCTCAACTACAGCCAAATATGCACGAGTTTCCCAAATATGCACGGATTTCTATCTATGCACACGAATATTTCTGAAAGCTTTCTTACTCCATAGCGGACACTCCACTAGAAATGTTACGCAGTGTACTTTAAGGCACTAGCAACCCAGATTCAGTTGCGATTTTAGAATCTTTTTTTTTTTTAAACTTAAACCAAAAATTTTAATCATAAAAGTCTAAGTTTTATTTTATTTTTTACATGGCAACTTTTCATTATCAGTATCAATTATATTCAGTTTTACGGTAGAGCTCCAGACAATGGTGCCACACCTCATCGAATTTTCAGTTAGTTAGTTAAACAAATGAAAATATAACAGTACATTCAGCAGTTTATCAGGTTTGTCTATGCTGTTTAGACTAATGGAGGTTTTAACTGTGGCCAGAAAAAGGCAGACTTTACCCATAACATGCCTTTTTGACTTTTGATTCCAAGTTCTATTTTTATATTTACATTATAATAACTTACATAGGCACCAGTCCCAGTAACTCTTTATTATGTCAGATTTTGCAAGTATGTTCCACCCTCCTACCCTCACCCTGGGCCTAGATTTCTGTAACCGTGGAGCATATCTCCCTCACCACAACCAGGTCGTTTTGTATTCAAAGCACCTCTCTATCAAGCCTTCACATCGGCCATGATAAAGCACAAATTTGTCAGCGCAATCAAGTATTTTTTCTTTTTTCTCTGAACGCTGACTGCTCCGAGGTGATCTCAAAGCAAGAAAAACATCTGACGGGTGCTGTTGGTGTCAAAGTCCCATTTTAGCGTATTCATTTATGGGTCAAACCGCACCCTGAATAGATGACAAAATGTTTAGCTGCTTATCTGGCAACATGCATTTTCATTCATTAGACTTCGATCAGTAAAGTTTGTCTAAGTCTAAGTCTGTATAAGTATTGTATGTTGCCAGATAAACAGCTAAACAAAATGAGTATTGCCAACTAAAATGAGATGAGTCAAGCAAATCAGAGCAATTCAAAAAAGCCTATTTTGACAGTAGCATTGCATCTGTAACAAATTTTGTTACCTGGCAACAGAGATTGGCCAACAAAATAAATGCATTAAGAATCATTGAGGTTTCTATTGTGCATCTCTTTCAATGGGCAAATAACATTAATTTTCTTCCATCAAAATAATACAAGAATATAAAAATCTAATACAAAAATTGCGAATGACAGCAAGACTGAAATGCATTATTACAGAATTTTTGTCAGTCTTTCAAAATAGTTTGAGACATTTTCACACAACTTTTTAAATATTTTCATTCGTATTAAAGGTCCTGTATTATGCAAAAGTGACTCCTGTGAGCTTTAAGTCATGTTAGAATGCTATTACCGCCTCAAAAATATACCTGAAGTTGTGTTCTTTTTCATTCACATGTATTTGAGTAATTCTTTATTATTTTATACGTTTATATGATGACGGTCTGAACAGAAGACTCAAAAGTGGTGTTGCGTCTTCACTTTTTATTCTGCTTTTAGACGAGTGTTCGCGGAAGGAAATCTGCGTGCATATGGTGACGCAAACGCAGGGCTGTAGTAGGCGTGGTACACTGGGGTACGCTGTCCACCCACTTCTCCTGATGTGAGATATAAAAAAAAAAAAAAAAATATGAAATGGCCTACAACTTAAATGTCAAACCGGAGCTATTGGCAATGGTGAAAACAGCCTGCATACGCTCATGATATCTGCAGTACTGTCCTATATTGACCTGCGACATGAGGGACTAGGACTGAACCAGTGTGGTGCTGGTTTAGTCCTGGTTTAGTCATAAATTCATAAAACAGCAGCATACAGCCCAAATACAACTCACCATAGCGCGGAGCCCCTCAGGACAGGGCTGAGGGTCTGGTCCTTGGTCTTGTGCCGTCCAGCGAGAATGTTGGTCAGATAGGTAAGAATCTGACAGAGGTAATTACAGATCCATCTCTCTTCACTAATTTAATCTCTGCATATTCTGTACATTTGTGAGACATTTGTTTCTGTGTACTGTATGTACATGTAAACACGTACGCGATGTGAGAAGATCTGACCAGAGTTTTGCGTCTTGGGCAGTGTAGACGGAAACGCTACAGTGGAATGCATTCAACTTTTTCAACCAGTCTGGAGGGTGGTTTCAGATGTTTGCGTTTTTAAGCCCTAAAAACCCCGTCACTGTCTAAATGAAAGGCACTTCTGATCAAATATTTTGTCGTTTTTACTAGCGTTCTTGTGTAAACAGACTCTAAATCTCCAGAGCTCAAAATGCTTTGTTCCACCTTATGATGTCACGTAGTGGTAGAAAAAAAACATGTCTTAGTGGAAAAAAAACCAAACGGTTTGTGATGAACAAAATTCAGCACGAATCTTTATCAAAAACAGTACATTTGAAACATGATTTAATTTGATTTTTTACCCTTTAAGTGCAATTTTAAATAGCTCCTTTAATACCTTAATAGATTTTTCATGTTATACCTTTACTTGAGTGTTTTAGCTGCAGTGTCAGTACTTTTACTTCAGTAACAAAACTGAATACTTCTTCCACCATTGGTTAGAAGTCTACCCAGGTTCAGTCGTATTTTAATTCCAGTCCACAACACAGTACCGTTCGCACTCTGATATCTTCAGATGGGCCATGGATACAGCCTTTAGACTATTTCAAACAAGGACTATTAATTTTTGTTGCTCTTGTTCAATATAGACACACAGCCTTGAATCTAATCTCATCGATTAAAAAAAAAAGGAACTCGCAGCTCTATGCCTCCCACACAGAAATAGTACTTCTCAAAATAGTAGCAGTAGCAGTACTTTGTCTATATTGGTTTTCATGTTCTTTTAACAGTATTCACACTCTCCATATTTACTTATTGTCACCGCCACACTCCGGTCTGAGCTCCGAGCTTCAAAGAGACTTCCATGAAACTCAGATTTACATGTATTATTAATGATGTGGCTCCAACTGTTCCTATATGTTCTTGTGTTGTTGCTATTTGCCGTAAGAGCAGCTCAAAACATCATTCTTAGCAAACTGAAATCCCAACATTTCCATGAAACTATAAACACAAGAGTCAATGTTTGTGAGCTTTTAGTCGTGTTAGAATCTTCTCTCCTCAAAAATATACCAGGAGTTGTGTTT